ACCTCCTTGGTTAAGTTTATTTCTAAGTATTTTACTTTGGATGCTATTGTAAAATGAGATTGTTTATTAATTTCTCTTTTGGATAGTTTGTTGTTAATGTGTGGAAATACAACTGAGTTCTGTATGTTGACTTTGTATCCTGCAACTTTATTGAATTAGTTTATTAGTTCTAATAGTTGTGTGTGTGTGTGCGTGTGTGTGTGGTCTTTAGAGTTTTCTATGCATAGATTACATCATTTGTAAACAGATAATTTTACTTCTTCGTTTCTTTTGTAAATTCTAAAGCTTTTATTTATGATTAACTGAAATATATTTTACATATACTATTGTGTAAATTTAAGGTGTAAAACATTAATTTGGCACATTTATATATTGTAAAATGATTGCCATAGTAGTGACACCTCTGTCACATTACATATTTATCCTTTTGTTTTAGTAGTTGGAATAATTAAATTGCAGCCTCTTGGAAAGTCGACAATTATAATACAATATTGTTTATTGTCATTACAATATTTGTAATATAGTAATCACTGTACTGTGCATTTATTCTCTAGGGCTTATATACTATTCATTGAAAGTTTGTACATTGAACAATATCTGTTCGATCTCCCCATTCCCCATCTCCTAGTAACACCATTTTACTATCTGTTCTTATGAGCTTGGATTTTTTGCATTCCATATATAAATATGGTACTTGACTTTCTCTTATCTGACTTAATATGATGTGCTAAAGGTCCATCCATGTTGTTGCAAATGACAGGGTGTTATCATGTCTGGTTGCAGGATAATATTCCATTGTGATGGTATATATATATATATACATATATATATATATATGTGTGTGTGTGTATATATATATGATATATATATCTTATCCATTCATCCATTGAAGGACCCTTGGGTTTTTTCCATATCTTGGCTATTGTGAATAATGTTGCAGTAAACATGGGCATGTAGGTATCTCTTTGATGTCCTTTTGTTATTTCTTTTGGGTATATACCCTGAAGTGAAATTGCTGGATCATGTAGCTCTAGTTTTAATTTTTGAGTTACCTCCATACAGTTTTCCACAGTGGTTAAACCAATTTACATACCCAGCAGCAGTATACAATAGTTCCCTTTCTCCACATCCTCACCAACACTTATCTCTTGATGATAGCTACTCTTCTTGATGACAGCCATTACATCAGTGGTATCTTACTGTGGTTAGTGATGTTGAGCATCTTTTCATGTACTTTTATTTTCATGTACTTATTGACCTGTTGGATGGCTTCTTTGGAAAAAATATCTACTTTGCTTCTCTACCAATTTTTAAATTGGATTGCTTGGTTTTTGTTGTTTGAGTTGCATGAGCACTTTATATATTTTGGATATTAACTCCTTATTCGATATATGGCTTCCAAAAATTTTCTCCCATTCTGTATGTTACCTTTTGTTTTTTGTTTGTTTTGTTGTGTAGAAGCTTTTGAATTTGATCCAGTCCCATTTGTTGATTTTTGCTTTTGTTTTTTGTACTTTTGGTGTCATATCCAAAATATTATTACTAATACCAATGTCAAGCTAATTTCCTACATTTTCTTCAGGGAGTTTTATGATATGAGGTCTTATGTTTAAGGCTTTGATTCATTTTGAGTTAATTTTTGTCAATGGTGTGAGATACAGGTCCAATTTCATTGTTCTGCATGTGTTTATCCAGTTTTCTCAACACCATTTGTTGAAGAGAATATCTTATACCCATTGGATGATCTTGGCTCACTTGTTAAATATTAACTGACCATATATTCAGGGGTTTAATTTAGGCTCTATATGCTGTTCCATTGATATATGTGTCTATTTTTATGCAAGCTTCATACTGTTTTTTTTCAATATTTACATTTGTTATACAGTTGGAAATAAAAAAGTGTGATACTTATGCCCCCCCTTAGGATTGTTTTGGCTATTTCAGTTCTTTGCAAAATTTCATGCAAATTTTAAGATTGTTTTTTCTATTTCTTTGAATAGTACCATTTGTGTTCTGATGGGAATTGTGTTATTCTATAGATGGGTTTGGGTAGTATGGACATTTTAACAGTAGTAATTCTTCCACTCCATGAGCACAGAATGTCTTTCCATTTGTCTGTGTTTTCTTTGACTTCCTTCAGCAAAGTCTTGTAGATTTATTGTACAAATCTTTTCCTTCATTGGTTAAATATACTTCTCTTTTGTATTTTTGATACTATCATGAATGAGATTGTTTTCTTTATTTATTTTACAGATATTTTGTTATTAGTGTATAAGAATGCAACTGATTTTTGTATGTTGATTTATACACTACAACTTTACTAAAATAGTTGATTAGTCCTAACAGTTTTTGTTTGAGTGTTTAGGATTTTCTACATACAAAATTATGTCACCTGCAAACAAAACAATTTTACTTCTTCTTTTCTGATCTCAGTGCCTTTTCATTTTTTGTGTCTTGCCTAACTGCTCTAGCTAGGACTTCCAGTACTATATTGAATCAGAGTCATGAGAGTTAGCACCCTTGTCTTGTTCCTGATCTTAGTGGAAAAGCTTTCAATGTTTCACTGTTGATATAATGTTAGCTGTGGTTTGTTGCTCATGACCCTTATTATGTTATGTTCCTTGTATAATGTCAAGGATTTTTGTAATGAAATGTTATTGTATTTTGTCAAATTATTTTTAAGCATGTATTGAGATGATCATGTATTTTTTTCTTTCATTCTGTTAATATGATGTATTACATTTATTGATTTGCCTATGTTGAAACATTCTTGCATCCCAGGGATAAATCCCATTTGGTCATGGTGCATGACCTTTTTAATGTGTTCTCAAATTCATTTTTCTAATATTTTGTCAAGAATTTTTGCATTCATATTCTTCAGGGGTATTAGTCTATAGTTTTATTTTCTTGTAGTGCCCTTATCTGGCTTTGGTATCAGGGTAGTGCTGGCTTCGAAAAACGAGTTTGGAAGTGTTTCCTCCCCTTCAATTTTATGGAAGAATTTGGGGAAAATTGGCATTCATTGTACTTTAAATGTTTGATAGAATTTGCCAGTGAAGCCATCTGGTTCTTGGTTTTTCTGTGTTGAGAGGTTTTTTATTACAGATTCAATTTCTTTACTCATTGGTTTGTTCGGGTTTCTTATTTCTTTTGCTTTAGTCTTGGTAGGTTGTGTGTTTCTAGAAATTTATACATTTCTTTTAGGTTATCTTATTTGTTGGCACATAATTGTTCATAGTAGTCTCTTAGGACTCTGTGTTTCTGTAGTATTATTTTTGATGTCTCCTCTTTTATTACTCATTTTATTTGACTCTTTTCTTTTTTCCCCCTTGGTTTTCTGGTTTTTTTAAATCATGTCAATTTTATCTTTCCGAAACACTAGCTCTTAATTTTATTAATCCTTTCCATTGTTTTTTCTAATCTCTATTTATTTTATTTCTATCCTGATCTTTATTGTTTTTTCTATATTTTGGTTTTCACTTGTTCTTTTTCTAGTTCCTTGAAGTGTAATTAAAAGTTACTCTGAATTGAGGAACTTTAAAAATAATTCAAATTACCTGAATTACATCACAGTCTTCATGCTTTATAAAAGTAATTATCATTCCATATGAGACATGAAGTATTCATGTTGCAGACAATGACTGATGACCCCAAGGATATGCAGATCCCTTGCTATAACTCCAGTTTTCTGGGACAGTAATGATCCACAGATTTGGAAGTATTAGATTAGATGACACAATCTTAAGTTATAAGACCTAAAATATCACATCAACAAAACAGTCACCAAATCTGGAATGAAATACAGTGAGCAATAATACATTACTTCACATAGCAAGGGAGAGGTTACTAAAATTAATAGTGTGTTACAAGTTCCCTTGAATTAGGTAACAGATGATGTTTCTATTGTTTAGCTTACTTGCAAAAAACTAGAAACTTGAAACCAAAGCTGTGTCTTTCTCCCAACACTAAATGTATGTAGTTCAATTGTTCATCTTTTTTTATTAGCTTTACCCTGGATTTCATCTTTGTTTTTTTTTCTTGTTTTTGTTGTTTGTTGCTGTTTTCTTTCTAACTCTAATTTTTTGTTTTGAACACCTGTAGGCCATTTTAAACACTTTTGGAGACTTAGGTGGAATACAAATTACTTACACTAAAAATTTTCTATGGATACTCAAACATTGCTTAAATGAAATTTTAGCTATATGTACACCATCTTGAATCTCAAAGACCTAGAAAATGTATTTTAGAGTTGTCAGAACTATTGAGTAAGGGTAACCAAATAAAAGTAATGACTTTGGCAATTTAGTTTATCCATGCACAGACAGGTATTCAAAGAGATCTGTGCTTTAATATTTTGTAATCCCTTAACCTACTTTAAACTGTGATTTGAACTTGGGAAATGTACTTTTCCTTTACTGTAAACCATTTTTTTAATTAAAATTTATGTTTATCAACTGGAAATTTACTCTCAGGCCTTATTTCTCTTTTGGGTTTGGATGCCACAAAGACTATATTTCCCAAGTTTGAGACAGATGTCCACACTGGCTGGAAGCCTGCTTCCTTCTTGTTCTTGAGGCCTGGATTACCACATAATGTCATAGATTAAAGTATGACATGAAAAGGGCATTCAGAGACTGCAAAAGAAGATATTTTTGGATTAAAAACAAAATTGCCCATCTTATATTGAAAGATGGGTTACATTCCAGCAAATCACAGGGAAATGGCTGAATATATTATTTAAAAGCATGAAATTATTGCCAAGTCAATGGAAACTCATCAGTAGGTTTTTAAAATCTCTACCTTCATCTCAAAGTACTTTGTATATGTGGTTTCTGGGAGAATCATTTATGTCAGATCTCTGAATTTTCAATGTAGATGGAAGTCTTATGTTGGACACTATGTAGATCTGGAAATTCTTTTAGGTTTCTGCCTTATAAGATCTTGATAGGTTGTTTATCTCATGAGAATGAATGAGATATATGGTATTTCTTATTTCCCAGGTGCCTCACCATACCCAGGAGTGCAAATAGATGAAGACTTCTGCCGTCAGCTGAAGGAGGGAACACGAATGAGAGCTCCTGAATATTCCACTCCTGAAATGTAAGTTATTTTTCAGGCTAAGGGACATCAGACTAAATTAATTTGGATAAAAGGCTCAAAGTAAGCATTGCCAATAACAGATGATAATACACAAAATCTTGTTCATTGCCAAAGCACTTCTTTTGCCCTTCTCAAATATACAGATATTCCTCAGAGTTACTGTAGGTTTAGTTCCAGATCCTCACAATAAAGCTAATATTGCAGAAATGCAAGTCATGCATTTTTTTATTTCCCAGTGTATACAAAAGCTATGTTTACACTATACTTTAATGTGTTAAGTGTGTGATAACATTATGTCTAAAAAACACAATGTACATATTTTAATTAAAAATATGTTATTGCTAAAAAATGCTAACCATTAACTGAGACTTCAGCAAGTTGTAATCTTTTTCTGCTGGAGTATTTTGCCTTGATGTTGATGAAAATGCAATATCTGTGAAGTGAAAAACAAAACAAAATGAGGTATGCCTGTCATAATTGAAAGATGATCTAAGAATCTAGAAATACAAATTTCATGTGAAGATGCATATACTGACATTTTTCATTGAATTCATAAATCGTAGAAGGTATTCATGTATTAGATGTAACCATAGCACTGGCTAGGTCCGTTCTAGCCTTAGATCCTGTACCTACAAGTTTGTTTCAAAACATTGAATAAAAATTACCATCCAGAATCTTGAGTTCCCAGGACAGCCTCTCTTGGGCTTCTGGCAGAGATATGGTCACACACATTACACCAAACTGGAGCCAAGTTCTTGGGATCTGTCTCTGGCTCAATAATTGTATCTACACAATTACAACAGGTGCTAAAAGCAGATTTGAAGACCTGTCACATCACAGAGATGTATAGATAAGTTAATGACTTCTAATTGTTTTAATAAACAGCAATTTCAGCAAGAAACTGTATTTATTACTTAGTTGATGGCTTATTGGCCAAAGTCATTGGAAAGAACAAGTTGAGGTTCCAGTATTGCTGCTTAAAATCTAAAACTGATGGCATTTTTACACCATTTTCCAAAGATGTATGAGGATATTTGAAGATCAAACTCCAATTATGTAAGCTTATAGATCATGAGGAGAGCCTAAAGTCCAAGAGTATTTGAAGCCACTTGACCTCATGAAAAATGAAGCAGTTTCCTCATTCACATCACTCTTGTACTGCCCAAGGAGCTTGGCAACAAACCTAAATGCTAGGTTGCTCTCCTTAAGGGCTTTCTAAATATTTGAGAGATAAAAGTGGACTAATTATGGATGATTATATGCATATATTTATGCATGCAGATCTGAAACAAGTGGTCATGAAGGGGACATAGAGGTAATGGACAGGTATGGATCAGGCAAACTTTTCAGAAACCTCACTCTATGGCCATAGCAGAGAATATGGGTTGGGGGTAATTGTGAAGATATGATTTGAGATGTCATCCATAGGAAATGTTAGAGAATCAATGGGAATGGGGAATGGAGACCCTCTTGGCATTTTTTTTTCAATCTTCAGCTACCAGACTATGCTTGACTGCTGGCACAGTGTGTGCACCCTGAGACCCAACTTCTCTGACCTGGTTGGGCGTCTTGGAGATCTCCTTCAGGCCAGCGTTCAACAGGTACCCATTACTTTTATTCTATCATTCAGCATCTTTTTAGTGTTGTGTACTAAATCACATTTCTTGGAGATGTGAACACTACAATGTTGGACTATGCCCATATTCAGTGCTCAGGGAGCTCACAATCTAGTTTGTGGGAATGTAAAGAAAATACTTATAATATAATAGGAAAAGTGAAATAAGAAAACAAAGAAAATAATAAGCCCCCACAGAGGATAGATGTGATTAGAGACAATCTCTGTTCTTCATTAAAATATTTATTGATCATGTGCCAAGTAGGGCACTGGGCACTGTTGATGTAAAGATAAAAAGACATGGTCCCTGACCTCAAGCAACACACAATCTAGTAGGGAAGCCAAATAAGAAAACCAAGGCTTGTAGCAGAGTATGATGAGTACCATGAAGGAGGGATACAAGAATCTTGAGAGATGAGCAGAAGTTAAACTATTGAAAAAGATCAAGAAGGATTCTAGGCAGAGGGAACAGCATTTTCTCTTTTTTTTCACTGTTTTCATTTTTTCCCATGTATTTCATGAGTGTCTGTTATGTAGCAAAACACAAACACAAAAATGTCACACCATACTCTCAAGCTTACAACCTAGTAAATATACAATGTATGTCTAGTAATCCAAAATTTAGATTAATGTTCATTTTCTTTGATAACCAATGTTAGAATTCTTTAAAGTATAACTTGGAAAGAGAACCTAAAATGAAAAAAAATTCAGAGAGTGAAATAAGTCATTTTTCCAATGTTGCAAATGTCAACCTTAGTTCTGAAAACAGTCTTGATGATATTTTGAGGAAGGTATACGGTTTCTCACCATTAAGTTCAATGTTAGGTGCAGTTTTTTTCGTAGATGTTCTTTATCATGTTGAGAATGTCCTCTTCTATTGCAAATTTGTTGAGATTTTTTTATTATGAAAGACTGTTGGATTTTGTCAAATACTTTTTCTATTTCAACTGATAAGATTATATGGTTTTTCTTTTTTAGCCTTTTGATATGGTGGACAATATCTTGATTGATTTTCCAGTGTTGATCCTGTATTTCATATCTGAAATACATCCTACTTTATATATATATTCTATTGTATATATGTACCACAATTTCTTTATCCGATTGTTTGTTGATGGGCAATCGGGGTGCTTCCATATCCATGGATACCTACAACCTCAAACAATCCACCTCTAAGATTCAAAGTACTTCAGGTATTTACAAGCTACTCACATTGCTTTGTAGCACTAAATATACAAGTTGAGGCAGGAAGCAGCTTTTGGAGATGTATGGTCAAACCGGATTTTCTCAGCATGTAAACTTGGTACATGTGTGACTCTGGGAAAGTCACATCCCCAGCTCTTTTAAGGCTCAGGTTTCTTACCTGGAAACATATAAAATGAGGATGTTGAATGATTTCCATCTGCCACCTCTCCCTGACTTTCTAGGGTCTAAAGCGATACAGCACTTGACTGTGGTGGTTTTATACTGGAGTAGCACAGTCTATTTCTCAGCAATGAGATCCAAAGCAGCACTTTGAATTCCATTTTTGCTCTATCAGATTGAGGGCAGGTGAAATACACAAGGCAGGATTGTTGCTTAGACTCAGGACTAAGAGCAGGGAGAAGACAGGGAAAAATGAGATAAATTATAGGTCAGGTTGTAAACTGAGACATTTATGGAAAAGCATATCACCTCCCCACATAACCATGATTTTAAAAATGACAATACACAGTAATTAAGAGAAATTATCTGGAACAGAATCCTGGCCTTACACTTGCTAACTTTATGACCTTGGGCATATTATTTAACCTTTCTATGCCTCAGTTTGCCCATCTGCAAAATGGGGGTACTAATAGTAGCTTTCTTCATAAGATGTGATCAGTAAATGAAAAAAAATAGATGTAAAGCACTTATTACAGAACCTGGTACATAGTAAGCAGTGATTAATACTGACCATTATTATTTGATCATGTTTTGAGTTTGGTTCTTAGATAATGGATTATGTATAGAAGGCTAAGGGGTAGATGATATAGTCAGACAACTCCAGAGGCAATGTGTAGCAGGAAAACCCATATTTTAATTGGGGAACCTATCCCCCAACACTTCCAGAGTTGTTAAGCTCAAATTTTGCCCTACCTTCACCCCGTGGAGGATTATTTATTTAAGAGGAGAGAGGGTAGAGGAGATTAAGAGAGAAGAAGGGAAAATCCCTTATAAAACATGTTTTATAAAGAACACCAAATCCACAAGTTGGTAAATACATCCTTATTAATCTGCCTCAATGGCACAAAAGATGTGGCTGAGAGCTAAACTTGTTAAGCAGGATTTTCAGGTAAATAGAAAAGTAGAGCAAACTTCTGAACTGTCCAGTAAAGGCCAGCAGCTCTTCTTATATAGCCAGATGCCACCAGGAAAGAAAATGGCAAATTCCAATTAGCATATCTGTCCCTTGGGAATGATAGACATATCTGTTTTCTCACACAGGATGGCAAAGACTACATACCCCTCAATGGCACTGGTGGAACACCCACATTCATGACCCTGGATCCTGTACAAGAAGCCGTAAGCAATAATATCACCATGGAGGCCAGGTGAGATCCAGTAGCTTCTGCTTCTTTGAGGTGATGGTTTAGAAAACTATTCACAAGCATAGTTGTCTAGAATCAGTAATTGTTTCGAAGGGGGGAGGAATTATATTTCTCCCTTCCCACTCTGAGTTCTGAACCAACTGAAACATAAATGATAGTGCCAGTTTAAGGTCTTCCTTTCAGCTTTATTGTTGAAATAAACTAGATTAGAGAAGTGGTTTACAGGTCCAATCAAATGGATTTAACACTCTCCTGGATTAGATTCACCCCAAATTACAGGGCTTTCTCTCAGGGAGAATACACTCTTTGCAAGGAAGAAAGTCCTAAAAAGAGGGAGGACTTGAGAAGAGCATGACAATTACTTCTCCTCACCAATCTGATAACTCACTTCCCATCTCACAGTAGGGGGGGGGTGTTTGAAAGATTGGGGAGGAGTGTGCCTCTTACAGATTGTCCTCCACATGAAAACGAGAGATGTTAAGATTAAGTGTTACTGCCAAAAGGGGACTATAAGAATGGTAGGTAGAGAGGGCCCAAGGGCAAATGAGGATAAATAAGTACAATTTAATTCACCTCAGGTGAACAATGAACACTTATTAAATAATTTTGTTTTCAACATTAGTGTTAGGCACATTTATTTTCAATAAGGCCACTCAAAATAACTGACAAACTACGAGGGAGATAAGGCATGCACAGTAATGAGCAAGTCTAGGTAGTTTTGTCAAGGGGGCAGAAATAAGTGATATGGATTGTCTTTTTTAATTTTTCAATTACAGTTGACACTCAATATTATATTAGTTTCAGGTGTACAGCATAATGGTTAGACATTTATATAACTTACGAAGTGATCCCCCCAATAAGTCTAGTACTCACCTGGCACCATACATACTTATTATAATATCATTGACTGTATTCCCTGTGCTGTACTTTACATCCCCATAACAATTTTGTAACTGCCAATTGGTATGGATTAAGTCTTGTGGGAGTTCAGAGAACAGAGAAATCAGTGTAGTCATCAAGCAGAGTAACCATTTACAGTTGTGTATAAGACAGAAGATGCTCAACTCAGGAGGCAAATGGGGACTGAATCCAGCTCATGTTCTGCTTAACAATCCCTGTGCTCTGACATAGCTCTGTCTGCCTAGGGGAAGAGACATCTTTCACAGATTTACTTTACCATTTGTTGAAGGTCAGGATGAGGGTTCTGTCAAAAGGTGGTATCTTTTACTAATCTACAAAAAATCTAGGGCAGTCTTGGCCTAAGGGGAAGATTCCTAGAGGAGCTGAGACTTAGAGTGAGCCCAAGTGTGAGCAACATTTGCACAATAGTTCCCCATATCCTATCCTATAGTCATTGGTTGAAAAATTTGTACAACTCCAATGATATTGTGCTGGACCTAGGTGTACTACAGCCCCATTACTAATCATATAAATCTTTTCTAAAAGGATTCATCTGCCAGAGTTTCCCATGTTTTAGACATCACCTGGTTCAGTGAAGTCTAGCCTGTTTTGCATTTGATTGGTTGGCATTTCTTTCTAACAGTTTAAGCATTTAATGAAGGATATAAGGCACAGTGTTCTACAGAGAGTGGACAATCATGGATTCATCCCAGCTGGAGTGTTAGGGAATGTATAGCACAGTCCTTTAAATTCCACCTTTCTCATAAGAATGGAGAGCCAAAAGCTATGAGGGGCAGAATTTTCCAGTCCATCTGGAGAAAACACTGAGAATTGAGTTCTGGTCCATGAGGCCTTGTCCAGTGGTTTATTCAGCACCCCCTCTTATTGTTTAACCACTGGCTAGGCCTATTATTTCCAACCCTATGATTTAATGATAGGAAGAAAGGAATGCATTCTCCACTTGGAGATTTTTCTTTAGGAGAGCTACATGAAGAAAGTCTTGGAGAGAATGGAATGCATTTTATCAAAGCAGCCCAGTCCTCAAGATGGATCATTAAGCCAGTGAAGCTGCTTCAGGACAGAATTCCTCTCTGGAAGCAAGAAGGTCACTGACATCAAAAACTCGCATTCTACTTTTCTGGAACCATTTTTTTTATTGCCACCTAGAGTACATCACCTATATGATGACATAGGAAAACCCAGCCTCTGTCTGCCTACAAATGTCAACAATTAGACACCTATCCACAAGGAAAAACAGTTCTTGGAGAAATCTGTTTGTGAAGTCTACTTCAGAAACTTCAGCAACATAATGGAAGAAAAAAACTGGAGAATAACCATATAAAAATGAAACCAAATCAGCTTTATTTTGCCTGCATCATCCCATCTCCCAAGCCAGTATTTCTCAGTGCCAAGATGGAACTTCCTACCTAGAAAAAATTTCTCTCATTGCAAAATGGACAGTGGAGTAAGTGACCCAATTCCCCAGTTTTTCAAGGCATTTTACCAAGGACTGGCTTCAGTTTCACCCAGAGACTACTAACAAAGATGGATGTATAGGAATAAGTAAGAAAAACAGGGGCTGCCAATATCAGCCATGCAATGGGAGTAACCACCGTACCCAGTCTCAGTAGATGTTACCGCTGAAGAAACCAAAAGCCAATACAGCTACTGTGGACCCCCTGCAGATTTAACCAGTTTTCACACCATAAGTATTCACATTTGCAAGATACCAGCTGCCTGAATATCTTTCAGCTCCCTCTTCCCCAGACCCTGCACCCCCACAAGAGACAGGGTCTCCATTGGCAGCCAGCCCAGCCCTCTGAAGCTGCATGAGTATAAGACCTAATCCTATACACTTGAATCTGTACCCTAGTAATGTGCACACGCTTGGGACTAGCCCCTTCAGCTGTGCACCTGCATGTCACTAGCCTGGTGCTGGTTGTCAGTCTCCATTGACATGCACCTTAGGGAGATCATACAGTGACAGGAGAAAATGTGCATGGCCAGGGATCCTGCAGCTATTTGAGGACTTGAATCCAGTCATGTCTCATGTCACTGGCTGGCACCAAGGGACTCACCTGCACCTAGCTGGTCTAGGTATGCACCTGTATGCCCCAGACCTGACTCCCAACACTGGTCTCCATTTGACATGCACCCATGGTGAGACCCAGCAGCCATGGTAGATCATGCCAACACCCAGGGCTCCTTCAGTGGCCAGCGTACCTGCACTTGCACTGGGGAGAGAAGAGATATGGATATCCACATTTATGAAGCTAATAAGTCACCTCAAAATTTCAACCCAAAATGATCTCTAAGACACATTGCGATAGAACTATCTAAAATCAAAGACAGAGGAATGATGTCATCAAGATGGTGACATAGGTCATTCCTGAATTTGCTTTCCCTCACAAGAACAACTAACAACTATTTGTGAACAAGACACCTCTGAGGGAATCCTAGAACACAGGAGTGTGGCTGGAGCATCCTCCTGCATCACAGAGACCAAGACAAGCTGTATTAGAAGGGTAAGAGGAATGGCTACACACTGACTGCATTGCCCCTCCCCAAGCCAGAGCATCACCAAGCAGAGAGGTCTCTCCTGGACCTGTGATTTATCCACTGGGGAAAGAGAGCCTAAGGGAACATCCAGCACCCCACCTACCCCACACACACACACACACACCACTGTGGATCACTTTGTGGAAGCCACTACTCTGGTCTTGCCAAATGGGAATTGTAAGAGAATTAGTGGTGCTCAATCAGTAGGAATCTGACTGTGGTAGAGAAGAGAGGAGGGGCTTGCAACAACCAGCACTTGGGTCTTAGAAGATTGAGTTTCTACCTACAGAGTCCAAGTAGTAGTCCCAACCAACAGATTTGCTCATCTGCAGAGCCAAGATGGTGGTGCAGGTCGACTCAGGAAATCTGCTGGATACAGGTCTGCTTGGTTTGTTTTATTGGAATTGGAGCCTGGTCTGCTTATGCCCAGGCAAGGGAGCTGAGTCATAGGTGCACATCCTATGGAGAGTGGCTTCCAGCCCCATCTAACCAGAAGAGCTGGCCAGAAAATCTGAAAACTTTGTAACCCAGCAGTGCTCAAGCCAACAGGCAGGCAGGCAGAGCTGATTGCCCCCCAAGCAAATAAAGTACTGGGAAAGGAGGGTTCCCCTGCTATGCGCAGGCAGGGGAATTAATTCATTGCCTCAACCACTACTAAGTGTAGCTCCCAGCTCCTCTCAACCAAAAATCCTATTCAAGAAAATATGGGAGTTGACTGAAGTGAGCCCTTCCTATTCTGCTTATGCAAGAGAGCTGATCATAGCTGTACCTGCTACAAATGTGGCTCCCAGTATGTTGGGAGAGAGGGGCTGGTGGGAACATTTGGAGGCTGTGTAGCCCAGCAACCTCAACCAGAGAGGCAGGGAGACAGAGCTGATAATCTGCAGAGAAAATCCAGTGGCTCTATTTGGCCAGGGATCTTGGGGAAAAGGTCAACTTGAGTCAAGACCATAAAACAACAGCCTTATCAACATTGGAACTGCTTCTCTTGCTACATTCAGGTAGGGAAACTATTCATAGCCCCACTCATTGCTTTATATGCCCTTCAGCCTGTCTGAAAAGGACCATAACCAGAGCACATGGGCACCTGCATAGCTCATCCAACTGCCCTACTTACAAATAGAATATAGCCCATGCCTTTCCCTATGTACAAAACAAACTAGTTCATATCACATGACCAAGGAACTCAGTGCCCACTCTTGCCTGATTCAGGTCCCCAAACAACGAGCCATGCAGGTCCTGAGCCCTGTCTTGCTGCCCTGCAAGGCCATGGAAACTAATTCATATCTCCACCTACTGCTGAGTATACTTACCAGTCCTGACCATACAGTAAACCTGACCAGAGAATCCAGGCAGTACTGAAGCCCATCCTACAGCACCACTTTAGCAAGGAATCAGGTCAACTGTCCTACCTAGCCATTCTCAGTCAGTGGAATACCCCCTTACCCCCCCAGCCTCAGAGTTCAAACAGTTGCCTTGCCAAAAAATAGACCCTAATAGCAGGCCCCTCGTGCCCAAGGACATTACCAGCAGATATGTCCAGT